ACCTAACCGTTTCTGACCAGTTTATTCTTGAAGAGTTCTCCCTTAGTAGGTACCCTGTTATACATGTATTAACGTCTTCAATACACAATTTACAAATAGAAGCATTTCTCAGTTAAATTTCTGTTAGGTTAAGTTCGTAAGGTTAGGATAGGAAAGGACAACACGAACGAAGTTCCTTTTGTTTACAAAAATGTAAAATATGATGTATGAAACAAGAATTCTTCACGCAAGTGCGAAGTGAGCAAAAATCGGGCAGTTTGACATTCTTGCTTAGATACTCTAACGCTATGAGCAGCTAGTAGGTACCCAAAATCCTCTCAAATAGAATCGGATAGTATAATGAAATATCCAAAGGGTAGACTTTATGTTGTGCAATTAGGATTCGTTTTAAGCAAATATTTGTAGTATCAAATGTACACTTAGCCTTGCCGTATCCAAACGTTTTCGAGTGTTTTCGAAATGCAAATACAGCCACAGTTTGGTCAGTTTTGGCGTTGTTTGCTGTCGGTTGTCGTCCGGCAAATTTCCGCAAATGACGTGGACGGATTATCCCAATGGCCGTTGCACTCGGCTTGTGAGAGGCAAGTTTTGCTTTTAGCCCATGGTTCAGTTGGCAATTGGGGCAAGAGGATTTCTAAGAAGAACGAAATCGGTGAAGTTCTGTGTTGACACTTTCAGAATTTCTCGCCGGTTACCTTGGCGACCGCATAATGTGGCAACAGAGAGGCACAAAGATAGAAAGACCCTTAGTTTCATATCTACTGTGCAGCGCCCATCGCGACCGACTCCAGGTAGAAAAATGAGATGGAAAGGGGTGAACTCTGCGGCCTTTATTTTTCCAAGCGACAAACTTAATCAGCATGCAACGCTCCAAGGAAAAAGGTATTCTCGTTTTACCAACCGAAACAGGCTTAACTCGCGATAGGTGCTGAAGCTGTAGGGTAGGTACTTTTATCTTTAGAAAAAACGACATGGAAGGGTGATGAAAACAAGCGCAAGACTCCACCACACCATGCCACCTCGTTGTAAAAGGCATGAACATGTTTTTCATTTCACTGGAGATTCTTCTACCGTTTTTCTTTTTTAACTTTCAGTACATTACCTTGTTACACTCACTTTACCAGCAGGTTTTATTGTGTCAATTAATACGAAACAGTCGACGATCGGGAACAGAACCGGTTCAACGATGTTATTTTACAAGAAACAAACTGCTATATAACCTGACTAGAATTTTGAGGGGGGTGCAGGTAGGGTTCCTAAGTGGGTAGCCACACTACCTCTTGTGGGCCCCATGAAGTTGTTCCCTAGGGCAAGAAAGGGCATATAACGCCTTCATATCATCAGAAATGCCGCATGTGGCCCCCGCAGGGAAAATTATTGCTACCCCATTAAAAATTTTTGGAAAAATGAACTTTATTATTAATGAAAACAATGCAATATGTATATAATATTTGTAAAATTTGTTTGCTCTCAAGTATGATTGTGTTATTGGGCTGTTTTGTAGTCAATAATACATTAAACTGCAATCGTTTTATTGTTGTTTCACCTGATGCGTCTAGTTTCAATTGTAACAAGGTCAGGAAGTACACTTGTTGGTTCTTTGCAAATGTAAAAGATTTCATTCTATCTATGACATAATTACGCAAGGGGATTATTATTATTATAAGTTTTTTCATTTTAGCGAGAGTATTTTCAAACGGATTTGCCTCATCGAGCCCCCATAAGGTAAATTAATTTGTAACTTTATATATGTGATAGGTTTGCCCCGTAAAACCCATAAGGCTATTCTTATTTTAGTGTCATCACTTTTTTTGGTGGGATTTTCATGAGGAATCTACGGGGAAATCCCTATATCGGCATGTCCCTCATTAGCCACATGAGACCCGCACGTTACATGGGGCATGCCCCCTATAAATTCTAGTCGGGTAAGCACTTACTTTAATCCTCAATTGGTCTTTATTATCGATTTTAATATTGGACGACCAAAAGTCCAGATATTTTGACATATCTTGGAGTCGTGGAAAAAGCTCTAGAGCTTTAAGGATCGATTTTCTTTAGAAATGTGTGATACATTTTCACTGTCGTATTTCTTCTAACAATACTATAGAGATCCCTGAATCAACACGATTGCCAATACTCTCTCTACATTTTTATGGAACCAATTTTTGTGTAACTTTTACCTGAAGTTGGATACAGTTTGTCTTCGTAGTGAAGAGATATCTGGCTACAGTATTTATATATTTGGATGGTGTTTGAATATTTAAAGACTGCATCCGAGCAGTTTTGGAAAAATTTGTTCTCTTGATCGTTTCTTGCGATATTCTTTGTATCACAGTAAAAAAGTGAAAATGTGTCGATGGCCAACGCGCTTAAAATTAACACTTATAAATATACCAGATAATTGAGATTGAGCTTAAGCGTGTCTAGTAGATGATGCCATTGGTATGTCTGTGCAAAGTCAAGAGTGCAAATTGCAAAAAACATAACATCCTGTGCATCTATCTTAGCTTTGCGAAGACGGGATCGTAACTTCTAAATCTATTCGTTGTTTTACTTCCTAAAGTATTGATAAGACAGCTGATTCCGAGTATACAGAATTAAAGGAAGTTTTAAATTATAAAGTAAAAAGTATCTGTATCCGATATCTGGCAAGAGTATTCGGATACAAGATGTGTTTACAACTGAAAGCTTCCGTATCTTGTTTCTTGAATCCGGGCGCAATTGTAGGCATCAGTATCCGATATCCCTGTACATTTTACCAATCTCGGAACTCGACTCTGGAGAGAGGGATATAATGGAGTAGCCTATGCTTATGAAAGTATAAATCCGACACTGGCTACTACGACAGTCCATCATGTACTTGCCCAATGCACATTTGACTGTTCTCTTCTTAATGATCGTTCAGGTATTACGTAAGAATAATATTTCATAATCCTATCCCAGTATTAAAGGCAATAAAATAAAAGAAAATCGGGGAGTGTTCCCTTAAGAAGTTTTTAATAAAATTAGAGATTAAAACGTGGATTAACTTGTTTTCAAAAGCATCTCTTTTTATACTAATTGTAAAAACAGCAGAGGATAACAAAAGGAATTTACTGGAAGTTTCCGGAAATATACGAGAATATTCTATGGCCGTATAAATCAATAGTATACGGCTAATGTATATATTTAAATAGTATGCAACTAGAACAAGAAATTGAACAGTACAAAAAAAGAACACCCCGTACGTCTACTTAAATATCCTCTTATCAAAAATAAAAGTTCATTTTACTAAGGTAAAATGTTCACTGTTGTCGTTCCCGGAATAGCAAAGTAACTAGTAATTACAAACGTGTACTCTCTACTTTTCTTTAGTGTAGGTAATGCAGTCTCTAGTTGTTTTTGTTCTTCCGTCGGCCCCGGTGGGTTTGGTTTTCATACTTTTTGTTTATACTTTGCTCCCATACTTTTGCTTTCACGATTCGCCGTCATTTCCATTGCCGACTCGTCAGTATAAAGTAAACATCTGCATGGAATAGTTGGCGAAAAATAAATATTTTCTCTATACTTTAAACTTTGTGCACGGTGTCAGTCAGATGCGGGCCTGGGCCTCCACTCTCTTTACTGCATCCAATTTACATGGAAATGTGCTCTGCTCCCGGGCCCTGTTTCTTTTACACAACTGATCGAAGCTTATTTTCTTTTGATTTCTTAAATAAAGAAAAGTCCGCCGTCATCTGAGTTCGAAGCCTTCGACTTCGGTGCCGATAATATCTAATACCGTCGCCCCCTAAATGCCATGAAAACTTAAACAATTCAAATTCGCATTTAGAATAATTCACTGGCTAAATGATCGAGCCGAATTAATTACCTCCCGTTTTTTGAACGACTTTTGAAAGACGTACCCATCCCCTTTTAATTATTAACTTAGGTAGGTGCTATTAGGTATAAAATAATAAATAAATATTTTTCAAGAAGTTCTTATTTATCTTAATTAAAATGCACTCCGGTTTAATTAAAAGAAATCTCGAAATTGTTGATATTATTATCATCATCCATCTTCGTCATCAGTCCTACGCCTGGGTTGGACACGCACTTCCTTTGGGTGAGCTAATCTTTTCATTTCCTTAAACCTATAGCATCTTGCATCTTTAAGGATGTTTGGAAGGTATGTCAAAATGCTACAAGACAAATAAAAATTCGGAAGAACGTTCCTCATTCAATTCTAAAACTCCTGTAAAAATTACAAATCGATTCACTAAACCGTTAAAGTTATTGAAATTTTAAAAATTGTAATTTTGCACGTCATTTTCTTGAGATTCGTTAACCGGACAGATTAAATTTATTTTTATTAACAGAAAAAAAGCTACCAGAAATTTCAAACTTTGATAATAAGTAACTTGAACTCTGGAGAATCACTTTAGCGCAAGGTTATTCAAATTCACTAAATAGTTATCGAGGAAAAAATGAAAAATTAGCTGAAAATCTCGTTTTTACTTGATAATATAATGATAATATTTATAATTGTCTGAAATAAATGCAATTTTAAAGTTTTAATTATTATTTAAACATATTAAAAAGTTTTACGCTCATTATTAATAGAGATTGAAACTAAATATTTTTTTGTTTCGAAGTTGAAATCAAGGCATATTCACTGCCAAAAGTCAGTTAAAAATTTTCCATATTATTCGTTATTTCTTATTTTATTCAAAGTTTTTGGTCAAATTCCAAATTTTCTCTCAAACCGTATAATTTCTTTTAGTATAGATAGTTTTTATTTACCTCATGTTATGCTGCAAAGCCTAATTAATCACGAATTTCTAATTTTATGTACTCTTGTCTCCGATTGTACCTCCCCAACATCCTTAACTATTTGCGAGCAGAAAACTAACCTAGAACTACTTCTACTCCTCCTAACTCCTGTTTCTGCTTCTAATATGTTTCTAACCAGTTACCTCTCTTTGACTGAGAAGGAGTCCTATAAACCTATGTTATATCTTATGGATTCTTTTTTGTTTTAGGTAAGTGAACACAGAATCATCGTCGCAATGGAGGCATTTTACTTTGTGCCCACCTATTTAGAAGAGCAATGCTTTGAACTTCCAACAATTCAACAAAAGGTTCGTAACTAAAGCCAGTGTGTAGTAAATGCTACCAAATGTTGTCCCATTTTCGTCTTTATACTGCTATGCAATTCAGAGCCTATATACGGGGTATCCCATTTATAATAATTAAAGAAAGAACCATGGCTTCCTGACACAAAATACAACAAAAAGGTGTTGTACAATTTTTCAATCCAGCGACAATTGAGCTCGCAAATCGTCTTTGTAAATTTGAACGTACAATTTGTTTCATTACGGGCCTGGATCTAGGCGACTAATGTCGCTCAGCTGATCTAGTGTGGATGTAACAAGTGCCTACCGGGAAGAAGCGGAATGCACTTCCATCTTGTAAAAAAAAGGTAAAAGTGAAAAAGAAAAGCGTACCTTTTATAAAAAACGTTGAAATTGTCCGCCATTCGCTTCAATGCAACACTGACAGCGACGTACCCAGTTGCTGCGAATTTTGGCCCAGATACCGGGAATATTTCGAATTATACGAAAGGCATCGGCAATGTAACTCACCACCAACTGACGGTTGAATAAGAACCCTACTAGAATGCCCTATTACACTACTAATTGTCCTTATTGAAATAGTCTTTTATGAAATGACCACTAAATAAATAAACTAACAGTAACAAACTAAATTCTACAACAATCCAGAACAAACTGAACAACCTGTTAGAAACTACGACATTATGTGTATTTATTCCAGTCACTTCCAGCAGTGTAATTATACGAGGTTATATCAATATTTAGCTTTTTACATTTAATGAAAACAAAATAACCACCCCCACGTGGGGTTAATGAGCCCTGCCAGGCAAAACTAACGTTTAACATGTGAATGGTCAAAGCAGGTCTTCATCTTGTCTCAACTTTTACATCCATAACACATACATTTGTTTTCGTACACTAGTACGTTGTTACAAACCTTTACCAAACGCTGGGTGGTGAGGGTTGTTTATGCACCGCTTCTAACTATTCCGTAGTCGTTAAAATTTCTTTTCTATTTAAAATAACATAATATTCGACTACATTAGGTCCACTTCAGTTTACGTTCATGGGATTTTCGATTGTGATAACATGTTTCAGTCATCTAATGGACCTTAACGCGAGTGAATTTTCTTCGGCTGGTCCGTAACTTAATACCAAACATAAGCAATAACATCACCCCAAAAAGCAGCTGATTCCGACCTACTGAAGGTGAATTTTTCTACTATCAGCTGGCAATCGTAATTAATTTGAGATTGTGCAGGGCCGGCATCAAAACTGTTATAATTTTATAATTTTTTATTTTGTTTCAAAAGTCAAGTGTTATAACATTTTATGTTCCAAATGTCCGTAGGAATCTGTAGTATAAATATTAATTATTATAACTGGGACACCCTATATATTAATTTTATACGCCACCATTTTTAATTGAAATGGGACAGCAGAAACCCTTGAAAATAGTTTAAAATCATTTGATAGTAGTTGGCCTTCGGCTTTAGAGTTTGTTAGACGGAAATAATTTTGTGGTAAAATGCGGCCTTAGCTCTATTCAAATTATCTTCATTCGTATTTTTGGAGCTATCATACTTCTGAAATGATTAACTTACAGATAAATCTGAGTACTTGTTTGAAGGTGGGTTGTTATTATTATTCGTTTCCATGGTGCTTGAATTCGTAGCGGGCGATTTTAATGAAAAGCGAGGAGCTAATAAACGTAGCGCCCCAACAGTTTCGTTAGTTCTAATTTCAAATATTACGGGTATCAGTTGACGTGGAACGTCTTAAATTTCGTTTTAAAACAAGGATAAGGTTGCCGAAAAGCAATTCAAAATTATTTTGCCCTGGTTCATCAGAAATTTAATTCCCGCTTGTTTGTCTTAGCTCCGGAGATCGGTAAGCGAGAAGGGGTTGGACAGCGAGGGTTGGAAAAACGTTCTCCCTCTCTCCGCCAATGAAAAGTTTTTTCAATTGGAATCGCTCCGATATAATCAACATTTTATTATCAAAGTAAACCACTTTTCTAAATACCCATGTACCTGCCTACTTGTTTACTAATTTTCCACTAATTAATTATTATTCTTTATTTTATTAAGTAGCTGTTTGGTTTTTGTTACAAAGGTTAATTTCCGATTTATTTATTACAACTCCTTATAAACGTTTCATATTTCTTCATTAAAAGATTCTCATGTAACTCCAGTGTAGGGAAAAAAATGCGTATTTTTCATTTTAAATTAAGACCTTTGTACTCGTTTTTCTGTCGAATATTGCTTTCGATCTCGAGCAACACACCTTGTATACCGTTTTTATTTTGTTTGTTTGCTAAAAGAAAGGAGTCAAAGTGACCTTCTGGTAGATAACAGCATTGTTAGCCGTAAGTTTGTGACGATTGCTGTGCACGAACTTGTGCGATTTCAATCGGAGTGTTAAATACGAGTTTACTGTTATTAGTCGCGTCGGTGATCCGAGTAATAAAGTTGTGCTTTTTGTTGTTTTTTTACGGAATTATATAAACATTGTGTTTTCAATAAAGTGTTGTGTTCACCGTAGATTTGCATACAATCACATACAATGGACAACCGGATAATTACAAGTAGGTTATAAATTATTGTAACAAAATCTCATAATCCGCCAGTAAATGCTTGGATTCATGCGTTTCAATGTTCCTTGAACAGGACGCTGCCGCCATTACTGATGGCCTGTTGGTAAATGAAAGCAATAAATTTACACAACTTTAAAAAAAATTAAATTTCTTAATTAGATTAAAAGAAAATATCAAACATCTATTGGATATGAAAATTAGGAATTGTGAGTTTACAGAATTGGAAAAATCATCAAAGATTTGGAAGATTAGAAAATAATATGCTTATAATAATCATAAATTANTACACAACTTTAAAAAAAATTAAATTTCTTAATTAGATTAAAAGAAAATATCAAACATCTATTGGATATGAAAATTAGGAATTGTGAGTTTACAGAATTGGAAAAATCATCAAAGATTTGGAAGATTAGAAAATAATATGCTTATAATAATCATAAATTACTATTATTATCTACGTTTACTCATTTCAGCTACTTAACTAGAGATTTACCTGACATTGACTTATCTGAATTTATTTGACTTCACTCTCTAAAAATTTATAGTTGTAAAATTTGAATATGATGTTTCATTTTTAGTTTCTGGGCTTTCCATTATTTTGAAATTCAAAAAAGAATTGTTTGATTAATGGCAAAAAACAAGCCGTCACAAACGTCATCTTCCCTTTATCTTCAAAATTTAGATACAAAAGAGATAAAGAGCATTAGTTTAGTGTGTTTGTCGTACCTGTATGGGTTCATGTTACTATCTTCTAATTTATTCAACGTTCTTTTCTACTTCTAATTAATTTTCGTAGAATTTCCAGGGTCATCTCTTGTCTTCTGAAGAATCTTTTTGACTTTTACTCCAGGGTCGCTTTCTATTAGTTTCTTACCATTTCTTCATATTTGATCGCTCCAGTTTCTGATTTGGTAGTTCTTTTGTTGTGAATATAAAGCTTATTAACTTTTGTTTCTACGTTTCCCTAATCATTGTTAACCAATATAAATGGTATTATTTATCTACTGTAATCCAATTTGACGTGGTCGTACGTAACTCTTGATGTTGGAGTCACTCTAGCACTTGTCCGATATTATTTTAGTATCTATGAAGTTCCGTAAGTAAAATATATTATTCCAATTGTGAAAATAGCACAACATAATATGTAGGTACCTAGTTGCTTTAATATTAATTTTGTGATCATCACAACCCGAACTTATAAACTGGGAAACGAAATGGATGAATTCGAAAAATATGGCCGTCAATTTCAATAATGAAATGGTAATTAACGTGGTCGTCGACGGATTCGATGATTACGTCCCTTCTGTAAGTGGAACAGACCCTCAAATGATGTTGGAATTGCCGATTTTTGCCGTTATCGGATTTGATACGGTGAAAAATTGTTGTTCGTGTTGCCCTTGTAAACACGTTGCACACATTCGTAATGTGTACATATGTAAAACATCCAGTTTTACGCAACAGCTCAAACCATCACGTTTCAACTCAACGATCGCGTTCATTTGCGATGAGTTAATAAAACGGATGAACAATTTCAACGAAATTTTCCCAATTTTCTCCCACGTGATGTAACATCTTTTTTTTTTTCATTTTATTTATATAGGAAAATTGAAATTNGAAGCGTGTTACCGTAAAGTCATAGATGCGATGCAAAATGCTACTGTATGCTTATATTGCTGAACTCATACATTTGTAGCTGTAGGGGTTAGTGTTAAATGTTTCGCCATCGCCAGTCGAAGAAGCAACACGTGAAAATTCTACGCCATGAATATTAAACGTCCGGCTTTTTAATCAACTGTTCGTTCATTATGGTTATAAGTTTCAAATAAGGATATCTGATGAGTTCTACAAGAATATTTTGATTATTACATCCAATTAAAATCATTTTGAGTTTTGAGTGATAAAACTGCTATCATAAAACAGCTTCGGAATTGCGTACGTATCGGCTGCATGCCCAATACGATGTTCATTTCATTGTTCTTAGAACAATTTAGAAGTTACTGTCAACAATAAGTTAACTGTAGTGTAAAGATGCACAAAACAAAACTTAAAATACAGTGGATTTCGGGTATACCTAACGACGACGAAGGAACCACTGTAATTTCGTCGTTATATCCGGAAGGCGTTTCAGACAAATGTAATGAGTTACAGACACGTACGTGTAGTTTTCACCATTATTCAATTTTGAAACGATTTCTGCCTTTTTTTTGACAGTAAATGTACATCTAGGATTCATCGCAGTTGCTATTCGGAATATCACTTTGTAATTGAACTATTTTAATGTACACGCTTACCTACTTACCAGTAAAAAAGAAAAAATTTTGGGCGTCTCATTCCCACCAGCCACTAATGTTGGTGGGCGGGTAGCCCCTCCGGACTACGCCGAAAGGTAGGGCGGAAGGCCCTCTTCAGTATTCTTTCAGGTATCGTCGTG